AGAATAGAATAGAATAGAATAGAATAGAATAGAATAGAATAGAATAGAATAACAGAGTTGGAAGGGACCTTGGAGGTCTTCTAGTCCAACCCCTTGCTTAAGCAGGAAACCTTCTACCATTTCAGACAAATGGTTGTCCAATCTCTTCTTAAAAACTTCCAGTGTTGGAGCATTTACAACTTCTGGAGGCAAGTTGTTCCACTGATTAATTGTTCTAACTGTCAGGAAAGAAAAGAGCAATACAAATTCCATTTGCAAAATGCCAAAGGCATCACTGCTGAATTTCCTGGCACATATGATCCAAGGAAAGACTTCTGGAGATAAAAATAAGCTCCGTGTGCTTTTCTCTGTACTTTAAAGACACAAATGAGGACTTTAAGTATGCAACCTAAATAAGAATGCTAAGAAGGCTGAATACTGCAGCAGGTAGTGAGGTTCCATGCTGCCTGTGCCACCCAGCTTTTTATATTTTGAGGCTTCTTGAAATCCTAGACCAGAAGAAGAAAACACTACTGCATTGCTTTCTCCCCTGATCTTTCTTGCTATCTGCTTCTTCCTGTCCTTACCACACCATCTCTTACCGTGCTTTGTATTTCCACAGCAATCCCACGTTGCTGCAAACACTTCAGGATATCGGGATCCAGCCTCTCTACTTTAGCTCCCGTTCCCAGGACCACAATTTCTAGGACAACCAACAGGGGAAGGCAGAGAAGGATGGTGAGATGACATTTCCTTCTTAAGACTGAAACTAACAAAAGCCCTCTTAAAGCCCAGCCCAAGATTCACAGTTATTTTGTACCTATTTTGGGCTCCAGCATATAGAACAGAGTAAGACTCTCTGGAATAATATCTTTATATGTGCCAACCTGGAATTTAAAACAAAATTATAAAAAACAAACTCTTCCATTAGTGAATGCGCAGCGTAACAAAAATCACTGTTTCTCATCCTTGACCACTTGAAGATGTATGGACTTCAATTACCAGAATTCTCCAGCAGGCATGTTGAAGTCCACACATCTCAAGTTGGCAAAGGTTGAGAAACACTGCTTTATCTAGACTGTATCAGTGATGGGAAACCTTTTTGTTGTGGTGTGCCAAAAATGCGCATGCGATAGCGTGCATGTGCCGGCACCCACAATGCAATGCAGCCTGCCCCCCTGTGCATGCACGCGCAACACCCCCGCCCTGCCCCCTTACCTGCATTTTGCTCGCGAGCATGCCAGCTGATTTTGCTTGCCAGCTGATTTTCGGCCTGTTAGAGGCTGTTTTCGCCCTCCTGGAGGCTCGAGGGAAGCCTCTGCAGGTCGAAAAATGGGCCTTCAAGAAATACCGGAAGGGCATGTTTTCAGCCCCAAGAGGGCCTCTGGAGCCTGGGGGAGGCCGTTTTCGCCCTCGCCACACAAGAAAAGTCTCAGGAGTCTCGGGAGGCTGAAAAGGGGCCTGTTTCGTCACTTCCGGTATTTCCAGTAGGCCCATTTTTCGGCCTCCCGAGGCTGCAGAGGCTTCCCTTGAGCGAGGGCGAAAACAGCCTCAAATGGGGCAAAAATCAGCTGGGAGGCACGTGCATGTACAGTGCAGGTAAGTTTGGCTGGAGCTCGCATGCCCGCACAAATGGCTCTGTGTGCCACCTGTGGCACGCGTGCCATAGGTTTGTCATTACAGGACTATATGATCTCTGAAGGTGAGCAGGAGTTTTATGCATTAAAACACATCCAAGTTTCCACTAAAAACATTATTCTACGTGAATCGTAAACTGGCATGTACAGGGGTCCTTACTGAATGATGCTCACTCAGCAACCATTCAAACTTGTGATGGCACTAAATGAGTAGTAGTTATGACTGATCTTAGAAAATCTCACTGTTGCAGTGACCTTGTAGTCACATGATCACAACCCAACTGTTCAGCAACCAGCCCTGATTTCTGACTATCACAGTGTCCCATTATCATGCGAACATACTTGGCAGTTTCCCACAAGCAAAGCCATTTGGGAAGCCAGCAGGAACTGCCGGAACTGCCATTGCTAAGCGGTGTCATTGCACTTTACAAAAATATTGCTTTAGTAATGGAAGTTCCCATCATTAAGCAAGGACTCACTGCTAATGGATTTAAGGAAAAATGTATTAAAATTAGAAAATATATATCCTGAACTGAAGAGATTCATGTATCTCTATCAAGGAACTGAAAAAAATTACTCACATTCCACTGCAGGATTGCTTGTGGCAAAATAGCGCAAGGGCCTACCACTGTGTTCCCATTGATGAAGAAACCATAATTAGTGTAATTTTCAATAAATATGATGTTTGGTGATTCTCTTTCCAAATGATGGAGCGTTGTTTTCTGGAGAAGCTCATCATCGGAAGGCGTGAGGCGATGATTTCGCTGAGGTTGCCTGAAACTGAAAAGAGAGAGAGAGAATGTGACATAATGGCAATAGGCCTGACCAGTAAGTCAAAATGCCAGTTAACCAACTATACTTTTACTGGATAATTACATGAATCACTAACTAAATGGAAACCCGAGGGGCTGCCATCTGGGGTTGACCCATATCCAAAAAGGACAGACAGAACAGTAACCTTGAATGTTGGTTAAAAATCTGTGCGTGATGGGGAAATAAAATTGTGGTCTAGTTACAAGTAGTCCTCAACTTACCATACAACTGAATGCAAAGTTTCTGTTGCTAAGTGTGAATGTCACTGAACTTTGCACCATTTTATGACCTTTCTTACCATGGTTGTTACGTGAACCACTGCAGCTGTTAAATTAGTAACATGGTTAAGTGTATCTGGCTTCCCATTAACTTTGCTTGCAAAAAGAGGACCACATGATTCTGGGACAGTGTAAGCGTCATAAATTTGAGTCAGTTGCCAAGCATCTGAATTTTCATCATGTGACCATGGGGAGGCTACAATGGTCATAAGTGTGAAAAGTCACATTTTGCAGTGACTGCTGTAAGTTGAGGACTATCTGTATTTCTAGCTACAATGTGGAAAAGGAAACAGCATTTAAATTATAGTAGGCAGAAGGTTATTTGCCTTTGTCCTCTTATTTTAATGCAGAATAATTTACATCCCTTTATTGCAGTTTTCCCCTTCCTTAAGCTATTTTAAGATGTGTGGACTTCAACTGCCAGAATACTCCAGCCAGCAATACAATTTTTATGAGGTAAGTGCTCTGGATGGAATGGCATAATTAAATAATTTTGGCACTCTCCCTTCTGTAACATTCAACTGCCCCATTACTGTTGATACTACTGGTTTCTCAATGGTTTTAAAGCTCTTGAAACAAGGTATAGGTAATCCTCGACTTACAACAGTTAGTTTCAAAGTTACAACATCACTGAAAAAAGCGACCTATGTGACAGGACCATTTTTTCACACTTGCAGCCATCACAGAATCCCCAAGATCATGTGATCAAAATTCAGATGCCCGGCAGTCGGTTCATATTTATGACAATTGCAGTGCCCCGGGGGTAGGTGGGGCATGTGATCGATTCCCCTTTGCGACCTTCTGATAAGCAAAGTCAGGCAGGAAGCCAGATTCATTTAACAACCATGTGGTTTATATTTACCAGCAGCAGGGATTCACTGAACAGGTGTGGCAAGAGAAGTCATAAAATATGAGGCAAAACTCATTTAACCAATGGTTCAGCTTAGCAACAGAAATTTGGGGCTCAATTGTGCTCTTAAGTTGAGGACTACCTGCAATTACAAATGGCTTTGAAAAGTGTGTGCATGCAAAACAGTGTACACTCCCCCACCCCCAAACTCCCTTCCAAATGAGTCGTGCACTGGGTGAGGAAAGTGCCTTTCCCTTCCCTTCCCTTCGGATTCCTCTGCATCCTGACAAGCAGATCTGCAACATCAAATCCGATTTAAACTCAGACTCCAACATGGTTTACAAATCCACGCCAGAACAGTTGCCGGACAACTTTCTACGTCACAACTAAACCAAGCCAGTTTTTTTTCCCCCTTCCTTCGCAGGAAAAATGAGAGAGAGATAGATTTAATTCCCCCTGCATGCAAGCTAACAGCCACACGTGTAAAGAGTTTGCACTCCCGCCTTCTCTGGACAGGCTCCTTCCGCCCTTCCCCAGGATCGAAACGGCGTTTCTCCGAGCGCCCCTGTCGAAATCCGGCTTGCTGAGCTTCAGCCAAGGTCAGTTGGGAGCCGAGCAGCCCCCGGGCATTTCTTTCGCGGGCACGGCGGGAGGCGAGGAGCGGAGCGGCGGAGCCTCCCCAGCGCGAGCCGAAACGCAGCTGCTGCAGCAAAGGGGCGACGGGCGCTTTTCGGCCGCAGCCCCGTTAGCTACACACTGACCTGCGAGTGAAAGCCGGCCTTGCTCTCCAGACGAGAGTCGAGCCCAGCGACCGGAGGGCAGCCATGAGAGCGGAGGGTAGAGCGGGCGGGGCCTGGCCGACGACCGCCCTCTAGCGGTCGTCGGAGCGAGGACGCGCAGCTGTCCACATGCCGCCTTGTCCAATCAATCGACCCGCTTAGAGCTGGAAGGGACTTTGGAGCCCTTCTAATCCAGGGGCCTCCAACACCTTAGCAACTTTAAGCCTGGCGAAGTTCTGGGCGTTGAAGTCCTCCAGGCTTAAAGTTGCGAAGGTGTTGGAGACCCCTGGACTAGTCCAACCCCCTGCTCAAGCGGGAGGCCCTATACTATTTCAGCCTCTTCTTTAAAAACTTTCTAACTTTAAACTGTCTACCGTGGACCTCGCCCCCATTCCTAAGAGGCCTGTAAGGGGGCACGCATAAGCGCCCCAGCGTGCCTACCATCCCTGTCCTACTGTTCCCATTTAATTCATGCTCATTTATTATCTATATAGTTATACCTGTTTATACTGATACGTTTATGTGTTATGTTCATACTTACACTTTTCTCATACATGCTTGACAAACTAACTAACTAAAAATAAATAAAATAAATGAAGCACCCACAATTTCTGGAGGCAAGCTGCTCCACTGGTTAATTGTCCTCACTGTTAGTAAGTTTCTCCTTAATTCCAGATTGCTTCTCTCCTTGATTAGTTTCCATCCATTGTTTCTTGTCCTGCCCTCTGGTGCTTTGGAGAATAACTTGACTCCCTCTTCTTTATGGCAGCCCATGAGATATTGGATACATTCTTATTCCCACTGCAGAAGACGCATATCTACTAAAGGTAAGTCCTAAACTTACAAAACTTCATTTAGTGACTGTTCAAACTTACAATGGCACTGAAAAAGCTGACTTGTGGTCGTTTTTTCACATTTACAACCATCGCAGCATCCCCATAATCAAATGATCAACGTTCAGCTGCTTGGCAACTGGTTCATATTTATGACGGTTGCCATGTCTTGGGCTCATGTGATTAGCTTTTGTGACCTATTGACAAGCAAAGTCAATGGGAAATCCAGATTCAATTAACAACCATTACTAACTTAATAACTGCAATGATTCACTGTAGAGTTGTAATTGCAGGAATGTTCCAATCTCAGATGGCAAACCTCAGATAGAGAATGTTTCCAAGCAAATACAACTCGGGCAAACAAAGTCACTAATCTATGGATAAAGGAGGATTAGAGAGGGGAAGTAGACATATGTTAGACTTTAACTAGAGATAATTAATTGTATGGATTACTGTACTAAACAGTAACGAAAGTTAAGCGGTAACCAAAGTTAACCAATGATGGAGGATAACTAAAAATGTATATAAATACAAGACTACACTCCAATAAAGATGAACATAATTCAGTTGTTCATGTTCAAACGACTGCCTCGTCATTACAACAATTCACATAAGAACTATGTCAAGAAAAGTCGTAAAATGGGGCAAACAAATGTTTCACTTAGCAATATAAATGTTTCACTTCTGTTAGTGAACTTAACTAACAAAAGCAACTTAACAAATGTTTCACTTAGCAACATAAATGTTGGGTTCAATTGTAACTCATAACTCAAGGACCACCGGTAAATGTATGTAACAGAGGGCACTGAGTTGGAAAAGGGCACTCTAGACCCTGTAGGCCTTTCACTCTGGATTTTGTTCAGAATAGTATCTAGCAACTTTGGTATTCAGATTTGAAGCAGGTTCTAATACTGCCCACCTCATAGTAGTTTTGTTAATGCTGATTATGTACCAGTCATTTTCCACTCTTAGTGGGAACCATATGAGGAAGTCCAGTTAAGCTCACCCAGGAATACTAGCCCTATCTTTGCTGTAAGGTTACATTAACAGAATCATGCAGGTCTGAAATAACATCTCTCTCTCATCGCCTTTATACTCCAAGGAAGAAGAGAGGGTGCTTTCTAAGATATTTGCCATGTCCTGTTCCTTCTGGAAGCTCAGCTGCCTTTTATCTGATCTTGCCTGGTCTGGGGTTCTTCCTTCTGTCTCCCAAGGTCTTTCTCACATACAATTACACCTAGCGACCACGTGGGTTTTCTCTGTGATGATCTGTCCCTAAGCTGATCCTTCAGCAATTCCAAAGGTGCATCCACCACCAAACACTGTGATGGCATCCATCCATCTTGTCCTCTTCTTTCTTTCCACCTTTCCCAGTATTAGAGTCTTTTCCAGAGTGCTGGGTCCTTGCATGTGTCTGAAGTAGGACAATGTGAACCTGGTCATTTGTGGCTTGAATGAAAACTGGATTGATTTGTTTGATGATCCATCAGCTTGTTTTCTTGGCTATCCAGCATCCAGGATACTTATTTTAATTTAATTGATTTGTCAAACATGTACAAGATAACAAGTATAAGTATGAACATAAACAAGAACAAAAGAAGTAAATACAGATAAATGGGGACAATACTCTCAGGAATCTTCTCCAATACAGTAATTTTTACTTATCTTAACAGTTTTTTGTTTCCAAGATACAAGAGGCAGCTTTCTCCAGCCAAGCGCAATTGGAGATCTTGGTCATGATTATCACTCATCCACAGGATCCTAAGTAGCTAAAAAGAAAGTGAACCTTCAAATGTTCAGATAGGATCTTTAGAGAGACAGGCTAGGATTAGAAATTAGTCTTTAGAATATACCTTAAGTGGGTCCCAGTTACTTCTTTAGAATGTGGTACTTGAATGTGGAGTAATCATCTATTTTTCAACAAGTTTTTATATTAGAATTACTTTACTTTTTTACCTTTTTTATTGTCACTGTACCTCATACAACGAAATCAAACACCATCTTCAGTGCACATCATGACCATGACCATGAAAATAAACACAAACACACATCCTTCACCCTCCACACATTGAACCGAAACCCCCCCCATGACACTGCTCCAACACTGCACTATATAGTAGAATTCAAGAGCGCTACTGTCCTGGGATAGAAGTGTTTTTCAGCCTATTTGTCCTTGTAATAATTCTTTCATAATTCTTTATTGGCCAAGTGTGATTGGACACACAAGGGATTTGTCTTGGTGCAAATGCTCTCAGTGTACATAAAAGAAAAGATACATTCATCAAGAGTCAAGAATCATAAGATACAACACTTAATAATAAAAAAAGAAGTTTTTATGTTATTGTCTAGAGGCTGAAAAGTAAAACTAATTTTCACCTAAAGTCATCTTTTCAGTGTCTTGATTCCTAATATAGGTAGTCCTCAACGTACGACTAACACTGGGATCAGAATTTCTGTTGCTAATCAAGGGTGGTTGTTAAATGAGTGGCAGCCATTTTTTTAATATATTTTTTTTGCCACAACTGTTAAGGCAAATCATATCAGTTGTTAAGTGAATAATGTGGTTTTTAAATGAATCCCCATTGACTTGGCTTGTCGGAAACCAGCTGGGAAAGTCGTAAAATGGCAATCACATGATCTAGGGATGGCTGTGATCATTGTAAATATATGTTGATTGACAAGCACCCAAATTTTGATCACCATGACTGTGGAGATGCTGTGACAGTCATAAGGCCAACAACTGATCATAAGTCACTTTTTTCAGTGCCATTGTTAACAGCCACTAAATGAATGGTTATAAATCAAGGGCTACTTGTATACTAAGGCAGAAATGTCTCTCTCAAGCATCTAAAATAATCCACACCCAAGGTTTCTTTCTTGTGCTACCACCAGATGGAGCTGAGTTTTATGGATAAGGAAACATTGAATGTTAATAGCCCTGCATTTAAAATGAAGGAAAACAAAAGAGTAATTTTAGATGTGTTTGGACTGGTTTTATGGCTATTGAAGTGCTGGGGACTTCACAACTAATGGTACCACTTCAATGTCTTGAAAACATAGACAATGCACTTCTCCCAAATGACAGCCATTGTAAAAACTTTCACTTAGTTGGATCTCTTTTTTTATAGCAAGAAGGGGCTAAGTAATATAGTAGTATCATTTGCCTTTTAATCCCTCAAACCCTTCCCCATCATGCCAATTAATTAAACACAAGGGCTTTGCCAGCTACCTATATGTATACATGGCATATATGAATTTATTTTAAAAATATGCCAAGGAGTTTTCCAGTGCTTTCAGAATAGGGTGAAAGCACAAAAGATATGCTTTTAAATACAGCAATAGAATAAATTCAAATATAAAATCCAACCAACAAACCAAGAAAAAAAAATCCAATCAACCAAAGTTACATTTATGTTTTTACTTGGATTGGGGCTGAAAGGCGAAAGCGGAAGCAATATGCTCCATCCCAATAATTGGGTAGACCAGGTTGCCCTGATAGACTGGTTCTACCTGAGGAAAAACAATAAACCAAAGGGAAATCTGTGGCCAAATGAAAAACAAAAGAGAAGCAGGGTTTTTTTTCAGTATAAGTAGAAGTCAGTTTGGTGTAGTGGTTCAGGTGATGGCCTACAAACCAGGAGGCGGTGAGTTCTAGTCCTGCCTGAAGCATGCAAGCCATCTGGCTGACTTTGGGCCGCTCACTCTCAATCCTATTCACCTCACATGGTGGTTGTGTGGAAAATAGGAGGAGGGAGGAATATTTGATATATTTACTGCCTTGAGTTCCTTATAAAGTAACAAAGGCAGGATAAAAATCTAAAATATTCACCGTGTTTCATCATACTATTGTTTTATTTATTTATGAAACATATTGTTTTGCACTAAGAAATTGAGATATATACATACTGTAGCTTGCTGCTCTGCTGTGTAATCATTATAGAAGACCTCAAAAATCTGTTAGGTTGAGAAATAGTAATTGGCAAGTTTCCTTTTTCCATCGTTCTAGCCCAATTTTCCTCCAAACTAGGGTCCCCTGGATAAGTGGCATCCAGAATTTTCCTAAATCTTAGAGGCACCGGCTTGGAAAAGGCTGTTTTAACTAAGATACCATGCCATTAAAGGTCTACCTATATTGCCTATTGCCAAATGTCTGCCTGTTTTATTTTGGTATAGCCACTAACTCTACACAGATGGTGAACGCATGACTTACGCTGTACTCTTATATTGATGCTCCTTTTGCTTTTCCAGTTCCAGAATTTGTGTCAT